AGAGAGAGAGAGAGAGAGAGAGAGAGAGAGAGAGAGAGAGACTGGAGTCACTCCCTTTCTAAGATTCACTGTCAGCTCTTTCAGCAGAGTGGCCAATTAGGGGAATATTTCAGTCATTTCCAAGCACAAATCCTTTAGCACTGAGCCATACAGACCTAAACCCATACATGCTCCATGGGGTGTGGCCCTCGTTACATTTTATAAGATTTGTACAGCACAAGTCTGGCACATAACGGAAAAGAATTCCTTCCATTTATTAAACACAACGCTTGGTAGTTTATATTTCCACACTGAGGAAATCATGGATCTTTGCATTACTGAAGTACTGAGTGCTGAAAATGGACACTGAAGCCCTATGTCCTTTCCTAAGTTCCCCAGTATTTTATGAAGTATATACCCGTGACAAGGCGATTCATTTAAATCACTGACTAGTCTGTAAAATCAAACAAGCACTTTGCTATTTGATATATAGACAATCTTTACTATTTAGCTGGTTTATAGATATTTATGAACTTAAAGCAATGAGATGGAACCAAATAGTCCAGATTTTTGTCTTATTTTAATAGGGAAAATGTCCAAATTTGTGATCATCCTCTCTAATCTTTTTATTTGGCTTTTTTATGATGGAAAGTAAAAGGAGACAGTACAATGAACTGTGAAATTTTGCTTTAAAGCTCCTGATGCAAAATATATCTGCTAAGATTTTTGTGTTGGTTTTAAAACCCTTTTTTGGCAGTACTTGCACATATATAAAATTATATATGCATAAATACCATTTTATATTATCTTAAAAGCTTCGTGCTGCTTAAAGATACATACTGGATGCAAAACATTTTTGAGGTAGACTCCAAATCAAAAAAGACAGTGAAATAAAGCATAAAAGGACTGAGCTATAAGCATGGAGCATGCCATTTCTTCATTTTTTGAGGGGGGATGGAATTCATGCATGGTCAATGCCTGTGGTTAAACGAGGCAGGTCAACTTACTGGTGTTTTGCAGTGAGGTCTGGGAGAAATTGGGAAAACCGTCTGTTTGAGATTGAGAGGAAAGATAATTCAATAAATACATTTAAATACAAAATGTATGTTCTGCTTTAATAAAAGTCAATGGAGAAGCCGAGTGATCTAGGGGAAGTACTTACTCCTTTGATGTTAATCACAGCTCCAGGTGGTCCAGGAGGCCCTGGAGGCCCAGGCAAACCAGGTGGGCCCTAAGGAATAAAAGAAAAGGAAGCTGATTATTCAAAAACCTCTGGGAAGGGAGGAAGGGGTTTCTAAAAAATAAAAATACCAAACAAAAGAAGGGGAAACGTTGCTGAAGAAGGACTAGAACCAAAGAATCTTCCTTATGACCAGGCTTAGATTACAATTTAGGAGAGCTGAGGAACTGTCCTGGAACTATGGCAATAACCTTTGAATTGGTTTCACAGACTCTGGTCTCTCCTCTCTCTAACAAATCCTCCATACAGCTGAAAAATCAACAATCCTAGAGCAAAAGTCTGGCTATGGCATTCCTTTGTTCAAGAAGTATCAATGACTCCCTGTTGTCTCTAAGATAAGATCCTAGAATTATAGACCTAGAGCTGAAAGGGGACATTTAGTCCATTCCCCTCATTTTACAGATGAGGAAACTGAGACTCAGAGCCTTGCCAAAGTTTCAAACAGGTAACAAGTGGTAGAAGTGAGATTTGAACTACAGTCACTTGATTCCAAATCTACTGATTTATTGAACATATTGGATAGAATGCAACCTCCTCTTTCTGTTATTTCAAGCCTTCACCATCTGTCCCCTACCTATGGCTTTTAAAGTCTTCATCATCTATCTCCAACCTTGTTTTGTAGACTGATTTCATGTTAATCATTCATCTAGCTGAGTTAGTCTATTTCCTGCTCCCCATACAAGGCATTCGATCTCTCTCCCTCTTCTATACCTTTGCACAGGTTGTCCTGTTCTCAGTGTCTGGAATGATCTCCCTCTTCATTTCTGCCTTTTGGAGTCTTTAGTTAATTCAATTCAACAGAAAGCATTTAATCAAGATTCAACTCAAGTGCTGCCATCTTGATCCTCTCATTTTTTTGTGCTCTTCTCTCACTATGAAATTTATTTGTATATATTTTATTTGTATATATTTTTCAACGATCTATCTGTGTCCGTATTGTTTCCCTCCTGTGCAACATAAACGCCTTGAGGGCAGGGACTTTAAAAAATGTATTTGTATCTCTAGTATAGTTTCTGTAAGTAAATGCTTTTTGAATGGCTAATATGGAAATATGTTTTGCATAACTTCACCTGTATAATGGGTATCATATTGCTTGCCTTCTCAATGAATGGGGGAGGAGCTGGAGGGAGAAAGAGAATTTGGAACTCAAAATTTTTAAAAAAATGAATGTTAATAAATGAATTAATGAAGGCTTATTGAATGAATCATTAGATGATCAAGAAATGAAGGTCCCTTGGGAACTATTCAAGTTTCTGGACTTGGGACGGTCCAAACTTGGCTAGCTGGAAAGTTTTAGGTTCTGTGTATTTTCACATTAAATGTGAACAATTACAAATCTGCCCAGAACAAAATTACAAACTGTAGATTTTCATTTTGGAAAAAAAAATAGGCATTTGAAATAAAACATCTATATATAACAAATTTCTCTGAAATCTGCTAAAATAATTAAAAATATGGAGCAAGCTTCATTGAAACCTGTTAAAAATGATTGAAAATATGGCTAATATAGCGCTCTTATCAGTTTTCATTTTGTTACAAAATGTCCAGAAATTATTTATTTCTTAAGCTCCATTGATGTTTCCCCCTTCTAACCATTTATTTGCCTCAAATCTTAGAATTCTTGGCAAATATAAGTTATTATTTCTAATATCTATCCATTTCCTTGACATTTATGGTGGAAACTGTTTTGACAAGGTCCCCATTTATTTTGCTTCTTTTTAACTACACAAGAGGATTGCACCGACAAGAATAAATGAAGAAAAGATTAAAGGAGATTTAATTCATCCTCTAATTAAAATAATACAGGGAAATTCAGTTAATTTTTTGAGTGATTGGTTTTGAGAATAAACATTAATTTTCAAATGAGTTTAGTGCAAGAGAAAAAAAATTTTAAGGCAACTTAGATCTTAAAATGAGAAACAGAGGTAACTTCTAGTTTAGGATTCCCCAAAGGGCAATAGGACTTTTACCTAATGGTTTCTGGGGAAACCTGGACTTTTCAGACCAGGGTGTGGGTGTGTCTGGAGAGTGGAGGAGAGAAAAGAAGATGAAAAAGGCATTGAGCAACAGTGGCCTTGGGCTCCTGGAAACACAGCCTAGTGACCCAGCATCATGGGAATTTTCTAGAGTTGTGCGTGGGCGTGTTTTTACATGCACAGAATGAGGGGGAGGGCAGAGGAGAGAAACAAGGAAAGAGGAGAGAACAGCAGTGACCTACCAACCCTGGAAAAACTGTTTAGCACCTTGGCATCATGGTTATTTTCTGAGTGGTTTTTTGTTTGTTTGTTTGTTTTTGCAGTGTCTGCCTCTGATTATTTCTTACCTAAAGATCACTGGGGAAGAAAATAATTTTTAAAATGCATGTAGACAATTTAGTCAAGTTTATATAAGAAATTTTTTTTTATAGATGCATTAACCTGAAGAAACTGATACAGACTCTAACACATAGAGTTAGACTATTAGGGTTCTTCAGGGAAATAGGCTGTCCTGGCAAGTGACTTGTTAGTGCTCATCCGGAGCTGTCTGAAGAAGAATAAGAATAGCTAAGCATTAAAACAGTGTTTGTCTGAGGTAGAATTCAAACTCAGGCCTTCCTGATTCCAAGTCTATACTATCCACTGCACCCATCTAGCTGCCTTGGTAGGAGAAGGTAGGAAGAAGGGATTTCCATAAGCATTTAGGGCCCCTAGGTATTTTACTCTCTGCTGCTGGTTTGCTGGAACAGTGGTCTCTCAGGTAGGGCATGGGGCATACCATAGTCTCCAGGCAGCTATAGTGTGATCCAAAGGGGTGGGTTATCAATCAGAGAGGGGAAAGATAAGTCACATCCTCCTTCCTTCTCCCTAAACACTCCACCCAGCTGTGGAATTGTCTCCAACATTAAGTATACTACTTCCTTCAACCCAATCATTCACCTACCATATTTGGCTTTCCATGGCTATACTGAGCAAGGGCACCTAAGGACAGGAAGCCTGCCAATGCTACTTCCCAGACATGAACAGACCCTTTGTAAGTATTATAAGTAAATAATGAAGTCCAAGGCAGGAAGTGTTGGGTGGTGGAAAAAGTCAGCAGATGTGAATTCTAGTTGCAGCTCTGGAACTACCTGGATGCCCTTGGGCAAGTCAATTAATTGTAGGAGGTCTTAGTGTCTTCATCTTTATAATGAAGGTGATGACCATATTACTAATAAAGCTCAGCTGAGTGCCAATGTCTATGAAATTAATAAGCATATTTTGTTATCCAATTATTTTCATTTACATTTAATTTTATTCTAGAAACTGTGAAAGAGAAATATGGCCCCCAACAAGATCTAATAAATTTTAATTTCAAGAGATCTATAGATATACCAATGGAAACTTCAGTCAATTTGTCATTCTTGATGTATGAAATTAATACAGAACCCCATACTGCATTACACGCTGTGGTCATTTTAAGGGGGTAACATTCTGAATGTACGTAACTTAAAACAGTACATAGAACTTCCAACCAATTTTCTCTTTATAAATATAAATGTTTCCTAATTTTGATAAAAGATCAGGCAGAAATCAAAGGACAATGGACTTTTAAAAACACTACAAATCAGTATTACTTCATGAGAGTCCTTTTCTAATGCCTCAGTATGCTATATATAACATATAATATATGTAACTATATATAACACATATATAATATACGTGCTACATATATATGATATATATAGCAGTGCACAAGCAGAATCAAGTATTCTGACGTTGGAAAGATTTCAGTGAACCCACCTACGGACTCCTTGTCTATTATCTGAGGACCAATTCAAGGCAAGTTAACAAGTATTTATTAACTATTGATTAATTATTGCCAAATGCAGACACTGTGTTGGCTATAGGGTAGTGGATTTTTTTGGTCACAAAAACTTTCAAAGATCGTCTAGCAAGCTGTGGAGGAATTGAGATGCACATTAGTTGGGGGGTGGGGGTGGGGGGCAAGGGAAAGGGTAGGATGGGAGGGAGAATCCCTGAGCAGAATTCCTTGAAATACAAATCTATTTCATCAATTGTGTTCTTCATCTCATTTAGAAATATGCCCTGATGTGTCTGTCTACAAAAGTCCGATTGAACTGCTAACATTATAAGACCTATATAAAACCAATTTAAACTACTGGGATTATTAATTATGATCTGGATTAAGCAGATTAAATAAACATATTCAAAGAAGAATTAGTTTGCTGCCTTTCCAAGCCATACATAGGATCATAGATTTAGTGTGACAAGGAACCTCCAAAGCTATCATGTCTAATCTCTTCATTTCACAAATGAAGAAAATGAGGCCCAAAGAGGTGAAGAGATTTACCCAGCTTATTTACCTTTTAAGTGTCTGAGGCAGGATTTGAACTCATGACTCCCTGAGTCCTGTAGTGTCCTATCCATTATGCCGTAACTGCCTCTCAAAAAAGAGTCCTTAAAGTTTAGGTGCTTTCTAATGGGTCACTGATTTATTTATTCTGTCTAGAATAATTGAGAAGTAAATTGAACTCTCACTCTTAATCCCACCCTTTCAGAGTGTGTTGACTTTTCAGTGGGTTTCTAATTCATTCATCTGACAACCACTTATGTGCAAAGCACTAGAAAAGGAACTAAAAGGAGATTCATAGGTAGAAAATTAGCCCTTCCATTGAGCTTACAATCTAGCATGGAAGATGTAAGACATAAACCAAGATGCACTATTATACAGGCTCAGTGCTACCATAGAAGGGACTGGACTTGGAAGTTCAAACACAGAGTTCCATTCCTATCTGTGCCACTCTCTAGTGTGTAGCCTTGAACAAGTCACTTCCTTTCTCTGGGCCTCATTTTCCTAATCTGTAAAAGGAGAGTGTTGGGCTAAATGACTGCTCAGGTAGGGTTTAATGAGGGTCTTCTCTAGGGTGTTGGCAGTAGGAATAGAGATGAGAGTGGGGTGGTGGTGGACAGATGTGAATTCCTCTTTTGGGCACATTAAATTACCTTAGATTC